ACTACTACCGTCATCATACTCCTTTCATCCTACGCATTACCCATGGTTTTTTTGTGACAAGCTAATGATAAAAGAGAAAAAAAAGTTCTGTCAGATATTTGTTCACATATATTTTATTCAAGGGAAGAATACGGAAGAGTTACCATTGCCGTTATTTATTTTTTTGCATTGTTTAGTCATGTCTTGTCACTTTTTATTACATTCAAGATTTTTTTTAATGTTATGATACTTATCAAACTATTCACGGTATTTTGATTGTCTTTCTCACCATCATCATCATCTTTGTAAGTATATGTATAAAATAATCTACTAATTAAATTGGTTCTTTTTTTGATTACCCTCTATACTTATATATATATATTCAACAAAGAACAAATATTAGAGACATTCAGTAAACATTCTATTGACATGATTAAATCAAAGATAAAGAAAAAGAGAGAGAGAGAGGGAAGAAAAAATAAAAGCTGGTAAGTACATTTTATTTACTACAATTAACTATTAAACATCTGCCATTCTAATTTCTATTTTTCTTACACTTAAATCTTTCTTTTCTTATTTTTTTGACAAATTAAACATGAATAGTCAAAAACAATGTTTCATCCTATAATAAAAGATAAATAACAATATCAATTTATCTTTATATATAATGAGCATTTGAAGATGTATAACAGTTCAAATCTATCATTGACTATTTTATTGTTTCTGTTTCTTTTTTTTTCTTGTATAGAATAAAAAAGAAAAAAAAAAAAAAGGAACCCAAGTGACAAGCAACGATAGCGTAATAATAATAAATACAATAGAAGAAGAAGAAAGAGAAGGATATTCAACATCACTCAATGTTCTTCTTCTTAATTAAAACGACTAACAATTCAACGTCGACAAATCGTGTCGTACTTTTCCTATTATTCTTTATATTTATATGTTATACATTGATATCAATTACAAATGCATCATTATTATTCAATAATAAATATCATAAAACTCAAAAATCGATGATTTTAAATGACAATACTATCAAAAACAATAAACATGATCTTTTAGAACGTCATCATCGTGCCACCGGGTTTTTTATATATCGTAAAGGTGAATATCTTTTTTTTATTCCTGATCGAAGACATCATTTTACAAAAAATTTTCGTCCTTATATTGGTCGTCGACGTTAGTCATATATATGTGTATGTTAATAATCTCTAAATATATATTGTCATAACAATATCTATCTATTCAAATTAAAAAAGAATAAAAAAAAAACAAAAAAAAATTTAAATTTAAAAATTCTTACTATAATAATATTGCTCAAGTATATCAATATCATTTTCAATATAGGATAATTGTTGAGATAAACATTGAGTTATAAGTGATTGATCAATCCATTGTTCAATTGATATGAGAAGATTTTCTTTATGATAAATATCTTGTAATAGATGAATATATTTTTGTGAATTAGAATTTAAATGAATAATAAAATGCCATAATTGTTCATATGTATCTTTTGTATCCTAAAAATAATTAATATTCAAATAGTTAATCAACGAAAAAATAACAATAATAATAATAATTTTTGTATGTAATATAACAAAAATCAACAATTTTTTCTCTGATGACAAACTATTATTTTAGAAAACAAAAACAAAATAATTTTTTTTTATTGCTAAGTCAGGATTCTGTTTTTTCTACATGTCTCATATATTTAATTACATATGTGAGTCTAATAGTCAGATGATTATATATCAAATTTAGGTCACAATTGCGTTTTTACTGGGATTATTATTGACGTAACAAATAACATATCGAAAAGATTGAAAATAAAATATAGAAGCTTTAGGTTTTTTTTTTATATTTAAGTGTCTGATCGAGACTATACTCATACGATAGGTTATGGTATCAAAGCATAAGATGGTTCGATTGTTTGAACCTTTGGTTCTTGAGATATCAAATTTTTACTGAGTTCTTCAACAAAACTCTGTGATCTCTTTCCGATTACATGGAAAATCAATTTTTAAATTGTCGACTTCAAATTTTGTTATCCAATGAACTAATCTCATTGAGAACAAAGTTTGAAGTCGAAATTCGAAAGTTGATTTTCAACATGATCTGAGGGTAGAGCCTGTTGGATCCGGACCCAGACTCGATTATACTTTCAATGAAATCTTCTAATCAGAATAGGATAGTCGCTCCGACGACACAAGATAATTTTTTCTGGTTTTTTTTCTCATATTCATTGACTATACAGCCCATCGGGTCTAAAGAAAAACCCAGTAAACTTTCGATATCATGGGAACAAAGGCTCGGAAAATTAAAACATTCTAAACTTTGCTATCACTCATCAAATGAGCATTGTCTTAGTGGAAAAACGATTTAATATCTAGAGAGATACTCTTATCGAATATTGAATGAAAACAAAATACTTGGCTTTTACTATTATCTTGTATTCAGGATTGTTGGGAGATCAAAAAGCTATGAATCAAAATTTGGAATGCAGATGTTTGATGTTTAAATACACACATTGGCACTTTTGATTAAAATATGTTTTGCTTCATCATTATTTTATGTAAAAATTGTTAGTGTCATCAAGGTTTTTTTCTACTTCTTCAACTTCAATTATACTCATATTCAAACCTTCGTACTCATCATTAACGATTGAGTCTAATTCAGTTTAACACATGAGAGTCATCGTCTAACAAAACTCAGTTTGTATTAATGAAATTGTTTATTCAAATGGCTTTTTTTAGTAGCTTACAGTCTGTTGAATTTTCTTTGAAGAAAGGCTTTACATTCAAGAGAACATGTACTATTAATAATCTCAAAAATTCTGTATTATTACATTAGCATAATGAAGATGTATTAATAATTGGAAAGAGTTAATTTCAAAGTTCTAAGAAAAACTCGAAATTAATAAAATATAACAACTCAGAAGAAAAATTTAGAATTTTTCTTGTCAGTTCGAAGGGTCTGACAAATCTGCTTGTGTAAAAGCAAATTTTTGATGATAATAAAAAAAAGAAAATTTTAGAAATTTTTGTCTTATGACATCTAATGCGAGCACAACTGATCAGTCGCTTTTTTAAACGTACAACTATTTTCATTCATACAACAGATATATATCAACATTTTAATATGAAAAATCTTCAAAACTCGATATACTCTATAATCTGAGTAGATTAAAAATGAACATACCTGTTTAAAACCATGTAATAAAATTGAGAATATAGCTGATCGAATTCGTTGTATTGCACCATATTGTATTATTAATGAATTACCTGGACATTTAATTACTAATTCAATAATTGATTTTAAATTTGATAAAAGACTATTAATGGACGGAGATCTAAATAATTCGATGAAGATAATTTTGTTTATATTATTGATTAAAATAATCATTAGCTTACGAATTATTCATTGGTATATTAGAAAAACAAAAAAACAATAAATAATTTTTGATTGTACTATTTATCTATTTTTATTTATTTAGAAAAAAATTTAATCTGAAAAAAAAAAAGAAATATTTTCTTTTGTTTGTTTTCACAACTAACATTTTTCTTTTTTCTAGTAAATTTTAAAAGAATTACATTCACAAAAAAAAAAGAATCATATATCTAATTAGAAGAAATATTGTTAATATTTATCATCAAAATTATTCAACTACATCTTCATGTTCATTTTTCGATTGTTTCTTAGTTACAACAACACCTTTTTTTAAAATAATATTTGCATATATTGCACTTTCACCTGTACCTAAAAACAAAAAAAAAAGAATTATTAAAACTATATATTGTAAATTTATATGTTAAACGACTGAAAGTTTGATGCCAAACAGTTTATATATATCCTAAATTCATTATATCTCTTTAGAACAAAGCAAAGTACTTGAAAAAATATAAGTCTCACTTGTATTCTAGATGATACTTAGAATGTATTTATATCCTTTCAAATAATTATTCTTGTTTTTACGTATTGAACACATTTGCACTCATATAGCTCTAGTAATTTCCTCCTTATTATTGTTATAATTGCAATAAAACCACTTGAATCAATAGAAATAATTCTTTTTTTAGTATTTAATAATTATAACAAAAAATAAACAAATCTTTGTTATTCTACGTTATTTATAATAGTATTCAGATGAAAATCAGAAAATTCTAAGTATTTCAAACTTTCAATTAATCTCATTAGACAGCATCTAACACACATTATGTGTAAGAATAATGGATAAAGTCGAAAAATGTCTGTTGAAAATAACAAAAAAAAAAATTTGCAAATGTTTTCATCTCATTTTACATAACATTTCAACATTTCAGTGAATTTTCTTAAAAAATAATATGTTAAATTATGTTGAATTATATTTGGTAAATACATACGAACAACAGCAAAACATTTTTTAGCTCTTTCATAAAATTTAAAACGTTCAACCATTTCAAATTGCACATTATTTCCAACAATTTCTTTATATTCATTCCATATAGGCACATCTAAACCTTTCTTTTTATCATCATCAACACGATCCATTAATGCAACTGGTTCAGCAACATATTGATCTAATGGAAATAATTTTAAAATCTGTCGAAGTAACTTTGGTATTGGTAAACCATCACATAAGATAAGACGAGCGCCATTAGCTCGCGCTATTGATTCAGATGGAAAATTTGAATCCGCTAAAACAATTTCATCTCCATGACCCATTGATGCTAATGCATAGAGTAATTCAGGTGAAATTAAATGAGGAATTCCTTTTAATGGCATTATAAATTTTTTTTTTTAGTTTTTTTATTTAAATAAAATAAAAATAAATAAACAGCAAGTTGTCCTATGATTCGAATCCATATTTTACCAACATGTTTATATTTTGCTCCAATGTGAATAGAGAGGAACATGATCATATGAAAATGTGTCTGTCAATTTCGATGTGAAAAGAACTCAACTCCGAAATCCTCTTCTCTCTCTTTTTCTTTTTTTTTTGTTCCATCTGTCCCTTGTCTTTTTTAAAAAAAAAACAAGTTATTATGTTATCCGATCAACAAGAAATACCAGCAAAAGTATTAGACGATTTATGCAGGTATTAAATTTGTATCTATTAATAAATGTTTGGGTTTTTTTTGTTTTTATCCTAGCCGTTTTATTATTAATATCCCAGCTGAACAACGTGATGATCTCGTTCGAGTATTATTTGCTGTAGAATTAGCTCATTGGTTTTATATAGATTTTTATTGTGAAGATGATGATGATTTATATGTATGTAATATCAGAGAATTTGCTCAACAAAGTAAATACAATTAATTTAATTAATATGATTTTTGTTTTATTTATTTTTTTTTTTTGTTTATAAATAAATAGTTTTTCACCATTGTCCATTTCTTCGTGATTATGTTCATAATCTTGATAGTATTTTATCTCGATGGCGTGGATATAAATTAAGTGTACCAACATATGGTGCTGTTTTAATTGATCCAACATATGAACATATATTACTTGTACGAGGATTTTATAATCGTGAAAGTTGGGGATTTCCAAAAGGAAAAGTACAAGAAAATGAAAGTCCATTAAAATGTGCTATACGAGAAGTAATATTCTATACTTAATTTTTTTTTTTTTTTATGCAAAAATATTTTCTTTTTAGGTTATGGAAGAAGTTGGTTTTGATATGAAAGATCGTGCATTTGAAGATCAATATTTAGAACGTGATCTTAATGGACAACTTATTCGATTATATATTGTTAAACAAGTACCACTTGATACAAAATTTGCACCGAAAACAAAAAATGAAATTAAAGTATAAAAATATTTATTAAGATTAGCGAAAAAAAAATCTTAAATAATACATGTCTATAGATTTTTCTTCTATCAAAAATTTTTTACATAATTTGATCAAACCAGTGTCCATAAAGATTTTACTAAAATACTCATCAAGGTTTTATAGATATAGATTTAACAGAACATATGTAATATAGTAAGACTTATGTTAAAATCGATTTATTCACTAGATAAATTTTTGTTTATCAAATAAAATTATTGTGTTTTTTCCTTTTGTCGTTCAACAATTCATTTTTGTATAAATGTCTATCGATTAGTGAAATTGAATATAATATTTCGCAATAAAAAAAAATATTCATTATTTTTTTTATTTATTCTTTATTAGGAAATGCGTTGGTTTCCTATAGCTGATTTACCATGTCATAGACGTGATACAATATCTCAAATTAAATTAAATATTAATCCAAAAGCTTTCTTTATGGTTATACCATTTATTAAGTAAGAAATTGAAGTTAATTTAATTCAATTGAATAAAACATATATATATCATTGGTCTATGGTTCGAATCTATCTTTTAGAGATTTACGTCGTTGGATAAATCAAGAATGTGGTATATATTCATCATCAAATGGTGATTCAGATAATGCTAATGAATATATAAAACGACATGAACAAACAAATTTACATTATCATTCACAATTAAGACGTCGAATAACAATATATTCAAATAATAATACTCGACAAATAAATATTCAACAAAAATTATTCGGTGTTGATCAACAAACATCATCATTTAGTAAGTATAAAATAAATTGTTGTCACTATGATGATAAATTTAAATTATCTCTTGATATTTTCATGAGAGAATATTAAAATGCTAAGAAGTACTGAGTGACAAAAATTAATTTTTTTTTTGTTTTAATTCTAAAAAAAAACAAAAACATATTTATTTTAAGTACGTGATGGTACATATGAACAACGAAGAAATTCAAGTAAAATTATTGCTAATCTTACACCACAAACTATTGATGAACAACAAATATTATCATCAAATAAATTTCAAAAACAATTAAGTGTACAAGATACAATTCAAAGACATTTTTCTCAAATACTTAAAAATGATTCTATGACTGTTACTGATAATACATCAATTACAGAAACATTACTTATGAGAGAAAATAATTCAGCTGCTGTTATTAATACATCACGTAAGTGCCGAAACAATGAAAATTCATTAATTAATCTTAGCATTTTTACGAGTTTATATAATATTTTAAATTATTCAATATTGCTTATGAAGACATTAGAAAGCTGTAGATACACATGAGGTTTTTTCTATCGATACTTGGTATCCTTCATGTAAATGATCAAGGTTTTAGCTATTTATTCGCTACTTTCAGAAAAAAAAATGCAACATACAGTTATATCTTGTTGCTGTATGTCTCATCTGATGAGCAGTAGGTCCGAGTTTGGAAGTACTTACAGCTTCCTAGAAGGCACAAACAATCAACCGTAGAACTTGTATGTCATTAAACTCTGTAAGTATACAAATTGTTTATTCTTTGAATTGATTTGGGTTATGTTCGGTTAATATCAATACTTACAAAAAGTCAATTTTTCGATTCCTAAGGGAAAGAAAAGTGTATGAATTTTGTGACAAAATACTTTTTGAATGAAAAAGTTTCGATCTATTAATAATAAGTTCATTATGTTCTATTGTTTGACATATATGAATATTCAAAAAAAATGATAATAGAATTTTCCGCCTTCGAAATCTTAAGAGAGAGAACTAAGAGAATATGCAAAAAGTTTTAATTCTCATAGGAGATCGAATATATATTGAATCTAATAGTATTCTATACTCTAATCACATCCGACTGCTTCCGAAAGTGAAAAATATTTTTTTGCTACTTTCAAAAGATTTATACATGTCAAACGATAGGGCACGATGAACTTATTATTAATAAATAGAAACTTTTTGGCTTAAAAAATATTTCTCACAACAATCATATATTTTTTCTACCTTTGAGGATCGAAAAATTGACCTTTTTTTTAAGCATTGATTGGCTATGCGAAAGTTACCTTCGCTCCCAGCAGTAAGATCGAATAATATAAAAGTCAAATATTACATAAGCTGGTAAAAATGCTAAGGTTTTGCGTACGAAGAAATCTATTTGATTATATCATTCACAATTACTATAATATTCATTAACTGATATATAGTTTCTCAGAACATGAAAAAAAAAACCAAGCAATACGCTATGAATTACTCTACAAAATAATATTGGTGACTTGGTGCTTATCTTATGTGACAGAATCTTCAGTTTTACTTTTAAAATTCAATTTTTTCCGCTATAAAATATTACGGATGAATTCTTTTGTAATCTGATCAGTTAATAAATAACGAGTGATCGAACAGTAATTAGACAGCAAAATGTTCATTTATTTTGTTACAAAGTCTGTAGATTGAATTAGAATAAGAATTTTGTGTTCTTTGCTAAATATAGATTCACAATTTTTGTAAGATTTCTTGTTTAGAAATAATGAGATGAGCTTTTAGAGATGCAGAAAAATTAATGGCAGGATTGTTCTTCGTTCAAACTCTAATCTGTGAATTATTGAAAAACGAATGAACATTTTCAATCTCGCTACATTAAGCTTAAACGAATCTTTCATATCACATTATGAATAATTTACTAAATCTGTGATATATGATCTACATTTGAGAATAGACATATTTTTCATATAGAACAAATGCTTATTTATCAAGATATGAATTCAATATTTTGTTGAAATATTACATCAATCTATGATTAAGTCAGTTTGAAATTTTCTTCCGGAAATCGAAAAAATATATATACGTTAACATTCAATCTTAAGTCTAAAATTGGATTTCTTTAAATTACATGAGATAAATAAGTTAATTTTGTATTCCACAAAAATTTCTTTTATTTTATAGAACACAATATATATATATATATATATAATTCCATGTAATTTATATGATTGATGTTTATTGCATGACCTAGATACATAAATCATGATAAAAAGTTAATCTTGTTAGCACGAAATGCGTATTCATATTTCTCTATGATCTACAAAATAAATCTATCGAGTAGAAAAATTCTTCTTGAATTATTTTATATAGAAGATTAAAATAATAATTATTATTATTATTTAGATACAAGTCAATTAACACCACCTATGTCAAATGATGATGAAAATAAACGTCCGTTATCTGTCAAAAATCATAAAGGAAAAAGATTATCTTGTTTATCAACAACACCATTTCGTATATTACCGAGAGATCAACCTGATGAACTAACTACTCAAATAAAAACACCCGAATCAAATAATCAAGATATTAAATCTCAACGACATCGACGTGAGTTCTCTTTTGTTTTATTCAATAAATAGAAAGAAAAAAAAAGAAGTCGATTATTAATAGGTCGTACTGGTCGACATCATTTAAATAATGACAAATTACAAGAACCTTTGTTAAATTTAACAAATGATACATTTCAATTTATTGGTCCACGTTGTTGGAGACAATTTCGTTTAAATCGTTCCGAAGTCTTTCGTTGTCTTCGCGAGTGATTAAAATCAAATTTTTCTTTTTTTCTTTGTTGTTGTTGTTGTTGTATATAAAACAATCAACTGTTTTCGTTTGTGTGTGTATATTCGAATGAAAGTGTTTGTATGTGCAACACACAATATATATGCATATATTTATCTGAATGATCAATTTATGTTTTCGTTACATTCCCGTATTTTTCTTTTTTTTTTTTTTCGTTTGTCTTCCGACAACCGGTTTGAATTGTTCTTGTAGTGAATCTCAGGAACCAAAACCAGTGTCTAAATTTCTATGTGCCACATTTAATGGTATTACTCGAGTTTTTGCATTTAGTTTTTCTTTTTTTTTTTTTTGTTGTTGTTGTTGTTGTTGTTTCATTTGTCGCATTTGTTTGTTTGCTCTCAGATACGTTCAAATAAATGTGATGAGTTTTTTTTTCTTCTTCTTCTTTTCGTTGTTCTTTATTTGCATCTGGTTTTCTTTTTTCTGAAGTTTTTCACTCGTGCATGCTAGATAATTATATGTCATTCTTGTGTGCACGTAAACGAATGTGATATGCATACATATTTATATATATATATATATGTGTTTGTGTGATCATCAATTCATGTCATTTTTTTTCCTGCTCTATATTGACAAGATGTGTGTGTGTGTGTGTGTGAAGAAATAAACGGATCATCTTCTTAACCTACTTATGTTCAATGTCATTTTAGGAAGACGACAAGTGATAAGATTATATTAATGCATTTGTTGAAGTTGTTTGTATGAAAAAAGAAAAGAATCTTCCTTTTCTCCTATTTTTTCATCTTTTTTCCGATTCTGATGACTTGTCATTCATTATAACAATACAACCAGATCCACTAGTTTTTTTTTTCTTTTCTTTTCTTTTTCTAGCTGGTTATTTGTATGGCAAATACAAAAGAAGTATGCCCGGAAAATGAGTAGAAAGAGAGAACTTCAATTTTCTTCTTACTAGCCGATCTGAGAAAAAGAAATATTGAGTTCTATGAAAGCTATACAAGCATCATTCATTTTTCTAAAATGATCCTAGAAGAAAATTCTAATTTCTTAGTCTATTTAGTCAATTCAAAACATTCCAATGAATGAACAATCGATGAAGAGCCAGGAATTATATAAACATTTTTTAATAGAGAATATAAAAAGAAACGATAGAATCAATGGAACAAATAAATTTCGTATGTATAAAAATTCGATTCAAAAAAAAAACAAAAAAAAATTTTTCTTTTTATGTTTACGATAGAATTATTAAGAGACCTTTTCATGATCACATTTGGTTTTCTTTTTTCAGAATCAAAAAAATTAATTCACCAAGGGACTTGCATATTATAGTTGTTTCTCTTTTATTAGGATTTATTCTGTATTCTATTTCACTCATTGTCCGCCTCTCATTTTTTTCAGCTATATTATTTATTAGTATTGTTTCCTATATTAGGCGATTCATTTCCATCTATAATGATCGCTGCAATTATTTCATCTTTTGTTATTGTCATATTCATTGTTGGCTTGGCTATTTCTCATTATCTTAGACAACATAAAAAACAAACAAATGATTCATCATACAGTATTACAAGATATTGGCGTCATCAATTGGCATCAACATCATGTGATAATTTAAGTCCATCATCAATTACAAATGAAAAACAATCACATTCAATTGTAAATGAAACAACAAGTATAATTAAAAATTCATTTTCATGGCCTGAAGCAAGTATGTTACATCGACAAGATCAAGAACAAACAAAACGTTCATCAACAGTATCTTCATCAGCATTATCAGATTCATTAACAATGGAACATATTATTGAACCAGCTTCATTAATATTTAGTCTTCGATGGGATGAAATAACCAAATCATTATTTGTTCGTATTGTTAGTGCTCGAGATTTGTTTATTTATAGGCATCATCGACAACCTTTAGTAATTGATTCTTATGTACGCGTTGAACTTATTTCCACATCAATGGAGAACACCACTCCAAGTAAATATTTCTTAGTAATAATATAGATGTATTTTATTTTATTTTAAAGAAACATTTCCATCAATGCGTACACATATTATTAAAAAGAATGCACATCCTATTTATGATGAATTATTTGAATTTACAAATATCGAACAAATAAATAATGATAATTATTCACTTGTTTTTACTATATCAACATATGATACATTTACAAGAGATGAAATTGTTGGTGAAATTATTTTTCCAATTGAATTAAATACATTAGAATCAACTGAAATAACATTTACAAAAATTTTAACAACTCGTCATAAACAAGTATGAAAAATATTTTTTTCATTGTCAACCAAAAATAAAAAATTTGTTGTTTTCTCTAAAAACATATAATCCTTCACAGGAGACAATAAATATTCTTCGGAATATAAGATTTAATTTTTGTTTTTTTTCTATTTCAGTTAAGCAATCAACAACTTGGTCAAATGCTTATTTCATTATGTTATCAACCAGCTGACAGTGCTGTAACAATAATTGTATTAAAAGCAGCAAATTTACCTCGAATAGGAACAACAAGATTAATTAGTATGTATAGATTTTGATTATTTTATTATTATTTCTTTTTTTGTTTTATTTAGATCCTTATTTTAAAATTTATATGTTTTATAAAAATCAACGAATTTTTAAAAAACGAAGTACAATTAAACGAACAACACAAACTCCAATTTATAATGAATGTTTTACATTTAATATACCAAATAATGATATAGAAAATATTTATTTTGATATAATACTTTTTGATTATGATAATCATATGAAACATGAACCAATTGGTATATGTTCAATTGGAAAAGATATGAATCAACACTGGAATGATGTTTGTCATCGACAAATAACTAAACAAATAGCTCATTGGTATCAATTGAAATCATTCAATGAATCAATTCATTGACATATTTTATATATGTATATCACATACGCATATATTTTATTTTCATCACTATAATCTTATTGTTGTCATTGTCGCTTATTAAATAAAAGAAAAACAATAATAATCATCTATATGTATCTCTAGAAATTATTTTTCGAAATAAAATCTAATTTTATTTTCAGAGAAACAAAAAAAAAAAGAAGAAGAGAAGATGTTATCTTCAAATTTAAATAAGAAATTATTAAAAACTTTATGGAATTCTATTATTTTAAATAAACAATTTTTAAGAAATGATCAACGTCAATCAAATATTCTTGATGATTATGCAAATATATATCGACCTGAAGTTGAAAGTGAACTTGAATATTTGGCTGTACAAACAAGTAGAAATAAATCATTACAAATTGATTACGAAATAGAGTAAACAAAATAATTTGCTTATTTGCGTTGTTTTTTTAATTAAAAGAAAAAAAAAAGCAACACGCATCCGAAGGTGATCAAAGTACTCATACACAAAAATCTGAGTTCGATCGAAAATATTCTATAGGAGAAAAGTTTATGTCAGAAAAATTAATTTTGAGAAAAACAAATTTTTCTGTGTGTATCAAGACTTTTTTCTTTCTCCAACTAAAGTGATTAAAAATTGACAGTGTTAGGGGCGCCATGACCCATTCTCTTAACACCTTTGGAATGAAAAATAATTATTTTGCATACAAAGAATAATCGTAGTGTGAATTAGGTTTAATATTTATATGACATTTGACAGAAGCTAAAGTAAAGGTCGAAAAAATTTTGATTTTGACATCCGGAAAGGAAAGACTGTCTTAAATTAACTTGATGAAGATAGGAAATGATCGGAAAGTATTTAGACAAGATGTTTGTTCATTTTTGATATATTTCCGACGAATCAAAAGCTATGATTTTATTTGAGAGTATTCAAATAATCTATGAAAAGCCGAAAAAAAAAATTTGTTTTTTAATTATTGCAATTTGAAACTAAAAGTATCTTTCGACAAGGCACCTCAATTTTCGTTTTTCTCTAAATATTCATTTTTGAAAAATCGACATTGAAAGATACTCTTGAAAATCTGCTTCGATAAAAGCTACAGATTAGTTCAATATCATGTTTTTTTGTAGAGAAATATCCACTCTACAAAATGATCGACTCCGATAATTTTTATTATATTCGAAAAGGAATCTATAGAGTAAACAAATACCTGTTCGATCACCATTAAAAATAATTTTTTTGTATAAACATAATGAATTTTCAATTCTTTTATAATATTATTCTTTTCATTTTTGTAATAGTAACAGCGAGAATAATTTCCTAAACAGCACCTATTAAGAATGAAAAAAATTCTTGCTTTACTTCAATTACATTTCAAAATTTTGTTCAATGTTTAAACCAACCATTTGATAGAAAACAAAAAACCATATAAATACAACAAAGGAACAGACACTTTTTTTTTTGTCTTATTTATAGACAACAACGTAAACGAAAACGTACTATTCGATATCATATTCTACGACGTAAATATGTAATACATCCAAATGATATTAAAGTAGATCCATATATTAAAAATCATATGCAATTTTTACATAAAAATTATCCAAGTATGATATTTTTAATAAATAAAAAGAAAATAAAAACTTATATTTTTAGAACGTTGGACAGTAAAAATGCTTGCAGAAAGTTTTAATTATTCTATTGATAATATTCGATTAATTTTACAACAACGTACAACACGTCGAATGCGTGTTCGACCACGTTCACCATCATCATTATTTGGTATTAAAGATGAAGAAGAACGTGAAAAACTTCTACGTGAACATATTATCAAAAGAGATTTAAATCTTAATAAAAATCCTGAATTAGAAAATGATGATAATAATGATCCAGTTGATTATCAAGTATTAGCTGAAGAAAGTAATCTTGTACCAAGACGACGTTCATCTGATGCTTACATGGAAAGATATGTAAGAGAAATAATTTAGAGAGGTTACTCTTCTACTTTATGCGAGAATTAATAATTGTTTTGTTTATTTGAAACTTCTATCTACTGCGATTTTCACTATTCGATAATGAATATATTTTTTATATCATTTCGATAAATTCAAAATGTAAATGTTAACGTGCAATTATTGTTTACCAGTGAGATTATTTAAGAATCTACTCCATGAGGTAAATTTTCATTCTTTACATACCATTCTGGTCCTCGTGTGGCTCTGTATCTTATTGAATCATATGCCGAGAAATTGAAGTTTGTGGAAAGTAAATTAAGAATCACTCTTCTGTTAAATATGCGACTAATTATCGATTTTTCGCCTATAGATACAACATAGTGTTGTAATAGAAACCCTAAAAGCAATTGGCTTGTTATTAAGATTTGACTAAGCTATTGAATTTTTTTTCTCGATAGCTTAGTCAAATCTTAATAGAAATTCAAATCTTTTTAATGTACATTATGTAATATCTATACACACAAAAAGAAAATCATTAAAATCAGAAAAAGTTCTCTAATCAACTAAAAGAATTTACTCATTGTAATTGAAATTTCAAGTCTTGTACTTCCTCAACTTTAAGTAAACAACGATAGACTATAGATTTTGAAGTGTCCCTTGAGTTTAATAATATCACAAAATGCTTTGATGTGTATTCCAAAATGATAGATTTCTATATATAATATATAAATTTTCTTAATAAAAACCCGATCATCATTGGTCTTGTTAAGATTTATAAATTCAACAATGTAACTTAATATCATATAAATACAAAAAGAAAAAAAACCAAAGGTTAATAATTATCATGTTTAATCTTTTTTTTTTTGTTTCATAGAACGATGGTTTCTTCTCAAATATCATTTCATCATCGGATGAAGATCAACAAAATGAACGTGATAAATCAATAGAAAAAAAACTATTAACTTCTTCACCAACTTTACTTGATCGTATTACTAAACTTCGTCTTAATGAAAATTTAATTTCTAACACGTATTCATATGATCAAACATCAGAACTTTATAATAAACGTATGGAAATTATTAAAAAAATGCAACAAACAAATGATTCAATTGTTGAAATGAATGAACGAAAACAAAAATATCTTGAAAGATCACTATTAAATAAAAAAATAAAATAAAAATTTTGTCTATTTTTATATTCATAATAAAAAGACATCTGAATATACACAAACTATTTTCTATATATATATACACAATCAACAAATACATATATATATTCATATATTTTTATTGTTTTTACTTAAATAAATTACATAATTATGATTAATATATAATATTTCTTCAAGAAAAGTATATTTCGTTGTCTTCTTTTCTTTTTTTCTATTTTTCTCTCTCTCTTGTGAATAGATTCTAGCAAATATAGAAAAAATATCCGTGAATATACGAGAACGATTCTTGGTAAAAGAAGGGTTAGCACACAGAATATTTTACAGGAATATGTGAGCTTTTCTTTTCCTTCTCGTTTATTTTTTTTTTTTTGTTGTATGTGTGTCTTTCTTGTTTGGCATTCGTCGTCAACAACAGAAGCACCGTCGTTATTGCTCTTCTTATTGTTGTTTTTATTCTGATTACAAATGCGTAAAACTGTCTTATATTAGTTATGGATAATATAAAACATTAGTTGATATATAGATCTATAATGAACAATTATATGTGTACAAAGTAGATTTCTATATGACCTCGGCATTTTTCTCTAATCATTATAACCTTTTGTATATAGTTTCTTTAATTCATATGATTCAAAAAAAAAAAAAAAAAAACTTCATAGAGTTAGTCAAGTCAATATCCGGAAAGATTCTTTTTTATTAATTTCGATTATGCTTGGAAGAAAAGAAAAAAAAGGTAATTTAAAATTGAGTTTATATAAAGTTATATTTATGTTATGATTATGAAGGATAATAGTTAAGACAAAGTTGTATCTATTGTTAATTACAGATGTATCTTTCTTGGTCTTTCTTTTTTTATGAGTAATATGTCATGCCCTGGAAATAATATACTTATCAAAATTGTCTTTAATAAATAATCTAATGTTTGAATAAAATTTAAATATAATTAATAAATTAGGTAAGACATTTGATGTTAATAGTTCTATATTTTATTTCGTTTATAATAGAGGTCAGAGAATTATGTTTTGCAAATTATGAAATAAGGAATTTCTATTTTAGAAATCTATACTTCTACAAAAACATAATGTTCTGTATAATAGAATAGGATCAATTCTTTTTATTATGTTTTCATATAAATTTTTTGTTATTGGTCAAAGTAATACATAGTATAGATTTTACTATATATCAATCATATGAAGATTCTTATTTTTTTTCGAGAATATTCTTGTACAAAAATGTTTGTATTTATCTAATAGATCAGAAGATATTCAACTGTCTTGTCTCACTATGCTCTATATTTAGTATATTTGTGGTTGCATTGTCTTTCTCTCTTCTCCTTCTCAACTAACGTGTCCTGTCCTTCGAGTCGACTTGCGATTTTCACATTTTTCTCCTCGTCCCGTCCTCATCTCTTTGCATGATTTTCATATGTTGTATGCGTGCAACAGAGAGAGAGAGAGAGTGCTTGCGCGAGTGTCTGCAGTCGTCTATTTGCACAATTGCCATTGCTCGTTCTTATGGGCAATGTGTTCATATTCGTTTTGTCATTGAAAAATGAGAAAAAAAAAGAGAAAAAGAGAAAAAAATAATAAAGATGCAAAACGACACAGAGTATAGTTGTTGATTTTTTTTTCTTTTTTCTTTTTAATGCGCTTATATGTTTGCGTTTTTTTTTTTATATATATGAAGAAAGTAACTAGAAATTATAGCAAGTATGTGATGATATCGATATAAAATCATCACTATTGTTTTGGATAAAAGAGAGTAGTATAGTATGTAAAAGAGAATAACGATAAGTTATTTATTTGTTTACGAGTAGTACGCTATGGCTGTCTATTTCTTAATGACATTTTCTGCAAAAAAAAAAAGCAAAGAAGAATAAGGAGAGATGAAATATAGAATACGCTTGACTCGTCGCCATAGTATATGTGTTGTTTGGGGAAGGTTAGTTAAAGCATGTATAGTTCTTTCTCTATCATAATGTGTGTAGACATCTCTCTTTTTTTTTTCCTTCTTTTTTTTTGTCTTTATATTGCAAACGTCCATTTCTATCTTGACTAGTTCGATGAATGATGATTATATATCTTCAATTCAATTAGAATATTGAACTTCATTTGTCATTGTTACTATTACCAAATTCATTTGTTTTAAATGTAAGTTTACATTTACTGTTTCTTTTCTTTTCTTTTTTTTTATCATAAATGTAAGGTAAATGACTGAAAGATATGTTATTGCACAAGCATTTTGTTAAAATCAGATTTTATAATACGCTGAATAACAATTATGACGATAAAACATCAACCCTTCTTACCAACAAAAAAAAAAAAAAATAAGAGAATGGAAAAAAAACTAGAATACAAGGGTAAGTCGTGTTCGTCGAGCAAAAAAAAGAGCGAATAGACACATGATAGCGATGAATAACCCTTTCTGCCACGTCCAATATTGCCGGTAAACAAAACACTGTAACATGCATAGAATGGAATCATATCAGACGAGAAGTTTCTGTCTCTCACCTGTCTCTATATTATTCATCATACGTTTTCTAGTTGTTCAGTAAATTGTGAATGTTTGTATATGAGAATAAATTTACATCATTTTTCTTACTATTTAAAGTTTCAGATAAAAACAAAAAAACAAAAAAAGAAAGAAATGATATCAAGCAACAATAGTCTCAAACGTAAATCATCAATACCAATATCAACAGATAATAATACAATAATAAAACGATTCCGTGGTACTTCTTATGATGGGTAAGTCAATGAGAGAAAGATGTTGCGCCCGCTTGCCCGCTGTCTTGTTTCTTTCGTTCATTCATCCATTTTTTCTTCTCCTTTTTTTTTCTATATAAATATAATCATTGTCGTGGTAACGTTCAATTGGTCGTCCTCATCGTCGACATTAGTAATCGCGTTCCAACAGATAGATATTTTCATCCATCCTTGTTTTTTTTTCTCTTTTTCTTCTCGCATCCCACCTTCCGCCATTCATTGCTTCCGAACATTAAATCGAACCTCGCTGCTTTTACTCGTCATATATATATATATATAGACAAAATTTAATTTCGTTCTTCTTTTCTCTATATCATTTCAAAAAAAAATAAATAAATAAATAAACAAAATAATATTATAAATTTCTAGAAAAATTTATTGTAATGAATATCAAAAATCTTTATCAACAAATAAATCTCAACAATCAACAAAGAAGATGACAATATATAATAGTAAACAAAATATGACATCAGAATATCGTCAACTTCAATATGAATTACAATGTCAAGAAGCTTTACTTGTTCTTATGCAAAAGCTTAAAACAAATCAACGAATTATATCACAAACAAATAATACTAATCAACGAACAACAACAACAACAACAACAACAACAACATCGTCTGTTAATACAACAAAATTAAATTCAACTATACCAACAAAACAACCATCTGTATACATATATTAATTATTAAATTGATTTAAATATAAAAGAAATTTTTTTTTTCTTTTTTAGAATTTAACAAATCGATCAACACCAACTAAACCACCTCATCCAAATCAATATACAGTTAATCGATCAAATAATAATTTACAACAACAAACATCAAAACCTTCTCAATCATTACCTCAAGCTATTCGTCAGTCAACTAATAGTACATTACCAATAACAGCTACTCGTCTATCATCAACTTCAACTACAAAAAATTCTACTGTAACATCAACAACAAATAATACTTCAAAAAGTATAGTTTTTATAATGAATTCTTTTTTTATTGACAAAATATATTTCGAGAGTAGATGGATTTCATTTTTTTTTCGTTTTTTTGATAGATAAAATTAAATATGTTAGACTTAGTTGAGTTAAATATTTAGCATAGAGAAATTTGATCTTTTAAATATAAATTTTATCACTGGATTACTCAACATGACATGATCTTTCATTTTGTATAAAATATTTGATGTTTTGATAATAATAAGTCAACAAACTATTTTGTATACTTCTATTCTTTAATGAAATAATACATAATAAGTAAAGTTCATTATTAGCTGCTCTATTTGTAATAAAGAAAAATTTATTTTTTCTAATCATTTTCCATAATGAAAATTTGACTAAAAGATTCCGATAATGTTATCGAATGAAATAGAATCAAAAGGAGATATTAAACAAACTATGATTAATTCTTGATTTAAAAAAAATCTATTTATTGATTGTCAACATAACATATCTTCTATATATTGTTTTTCTTAGATAATGGAATTACTACAGATCAACATTTATTTAATGCTAAATTAGCTTTACGTAAACAACTTGAACAAACTCTTTTACAAATTCCAACACCAAAACCAACTATATGTGATTTAACTTATATTCCTGGTATAAATGGTTGGGCAGAATTTTTAACATTAGTTGGTCTTGAACAAGCCTATAATACATATACAGATTTTGTTAATCGTCGTTATTCATCAGAAATTTCAGTAATATTACCATATATGTGTACTCAATGTGGTACAGATTGGTCTGTAACATGGCATGATATATCATTAATAAATGATAATAATAATAAAGATGAAAAAATTGTTTGTGATCGCTGTAGGAAAACATCACAGAAAAAAATTCTTAAACAAGATCATTCAAATCGTTTACGACAAGCATTTATGAAAGCATTACAACAAGAAAAAGAACTTGATGCAAAATTTCAACAACAATCATTAACAACAATAGTTAAACAATCATCATCATCAACATCATCAACATCATCATCATCACATCATAAATCTTCGAATAAATCTTTATCAACAAAAATAAATTCAAATCATCAATCTAATAAACATACAAATAATAATAATAATAATAATAATAATAATCATCATCATCATAGTGGAAAGACTAGTTCATCAAAACATCCGATAAATCCAGTTGATACATTTGCATCAGCTTTAGCTGCTTTACCAACTAATGAACAAATAGAATTATTTCAAAAACATTTTTTATCAAATATGTTTCCATTTGCTGTTGCTAATCAAGCAGCTGTACTTGCAACTAAAACAACTCAACAACAACAACAAGCATTAGCTGCATCATTACCAGCTATGGCTGCTTCATTGATGCGTCAAGGAAATCCTGCTCAATATTTACTTGATATGATACCACAAGCAGCTAAACAACATCATCGTCATTCAAAATGATTTCCTTTCTTTTTTTCCTTTTTTTTTTTTTTTTTTTGTACAGTTTGATTTTGTCGTTGTCTAAGTCATTTATCTATTTGTTGTTTATAAAAGCACTATTTAAATGTTGAAACAAGATTTTTCTCTTTTTGTGTAGATTGCAATACGATTTTATATATATGATTTAAATGATTTGTTTTTCTTTTTGTTTTCAAATATTGAGAAAAATTGAGATTAGACATTTTCAAAGAAAAATTTTACATATTATTTAAATCATTTCGAGATTATTTTAAACTATTTCTTGTTTCTTTTATAGGTAGAAAATCTATTTAGTTTAATATCGTTGAATTTTATTATTAGATGGATATATGTTTAGATATTGATGTAGAAAAATTAATTTGTAACTGATTATTTATTTTTGATTATAGAAATTGTTCAATTGAGATAATGTTAAAATTTATGAATGATACTTACCGAAAGAACCTTATCAAGTGTCAAATTGAAACGATATTCATTTGTTGAGTAATAGAAAGATAGTTTAGAATGATTTAGTTTTTCAATAAAAAGCTATTGTTGCCTTCCATAGTGTACATTCAGATAGATAATTAGAAGTGTATGCTAATGTTTACCAGAAAATTCGTCGAAATTAACAAAATATAATTTAAAAAGTTGTATATATTCTGAATGATTTTTTTCTTGCTTTAGAAAAATATTTAATCGATAAAAATAGTATATTCGGAATAAGTACATTAAACTATGTCGAATGAAGAGATTCTCTTGTTAGATGATAAGTTAAAAATACAAATCAAAATAATTGAAGAATGTATGAAGTATAATATACAAAACAATGTTGTTTTAAAATTATGAAGCAAGTTGCAAATAATGGGATTAGAATGATAGTTCGGTTCTATTTTAGTACTTTCATTATTTGGTTTCTGTTCGATTCAAGATTAAATTGGATATTGAAGAGCTTCGCATGGAATGAAATGATCCTATTCCATGTAAGAGCTCTGGTGTGTTGATCTATGTTAAATGGTAATAGTACATATTTGATATAAATTAGTCATCTTATGATTAATTTTTATTTCTCTGTATTAAATGAGATTTGATATATTGGTGAGAAAAGAATATAAATTTTGTATTGTATTTAGGAGATATTGAATCTTTTCATCACCTATTTAATATAACTAAAATCTAGTGTTATCAGTATGTGTGTGGAATGAAAATGATAGATACATCAAGAACTTTTATTATTATGTAATATCTTAACCATATATTGTACGTCCTCCATGTCAATTGTGTTCGATTAAAGATTTAGTATGTTGAGATAGTAGTGGATAGACTACAGACGAATGTATAGAACTTGTTTTACTATGTCAGTAGATAATACTTTTTTTAACAAATGTTGTTTGCCTTAATCAGTGATATGTTTATCATTCAGGTCTAATGTCATGAGTATCTGTATAGAATCATTATTGTCTCTGTTAAATATATTATAGAATAAGAGAAGATTTGTAATGCATGGATAGAATGTTATGTTGATTCAATAACAACCTTAGTTTCATATAAGATTAAATATCGTGAAGACTCACGATGAATATGTAATTCATTAGTTAAATGTTATATGTCTTGGCTATTGATATTATTATTGTAATGATGACGTGTGGCAAAGATCTATGTTCAATGATAATGATTGGAGATGTAATCAGCTAATGAAAATTTTGTCGAACTTTTTTTTTACTTTATAATATTTTAGCTAAGTATTAAACAACTTCAGAGTTGGTTTTATTTTCATTTAAGATTCAGTGTCATGAATGATTATGATGAATAATAATGGAGGAATAGATCAAAAATGCAAATAGCTAGAGACTTGTGGTTTTCATCAATTGATAGGGGATTATTTTGAAAGTACTGCATTTCCTAAATCTTTTAAAGATTGGTTTATAAGATTATGACACTTCAATAGATTTTCCATTTTTGTATCACGAATAGATAGGCTGGAACAGCCTCTACCAATCTACGTAAGCTCAACTTTGATAGCTATTGTGGTTCAAAAGATATATCATTTTTACTGAAGTATCTTCTACACACAATGACGATTACTGAGAGATTTATTGTAGTTAATTCACTTTATTCGCATCTGTTTTCAGATTACTCAATTTAGAAGATAGGGTGATGAGTGAATTTCAGTAAAAATATAATCGATTTTTGATTTTTTTTTTATTATGTAGGATGAATTCAAACTTTGCCATAAAATTCAGTGAAATTAATACTTGTTCAATTCACTTTTGACTTAAGAAGAACAATGTAAAAACTATTGTAGCTTTAAATTTCTGTTCACGGTTTTCGACAATTGTGTAAGCATTGTTAAAAGATGCGTTATAGAAAACTATTATACAAATAAACCTCAATTACAAAAGTAAAAAGATATGCGAAATATTTTTTATTATGCTAAATATGATGGAAAGTAGCATTATATTGTAATATATTCATTTTGAGTATGGGAAAAGTCATCAGAACAAATCAATAAGGATTTTATCTTGTATTTTTGTAGAACTTTTCGTGACGTATGAAATTTTTATCATTTTCTTAGGTCGAAATATACGCAAAAGGAAAAAATGTAGCAAACATTTTAGCACACCCGATATTTACGCATTGTGAAAATTTCAAGCTTAATAGTTAAAGAAATTTCGAATAAATTTCTCATTGATTCCTTTCAGCTACATATCAATGATTGTCAAAGAATATTTGATAACCCAGATAAATCAAAGCTGCTTGGCATGAAACTTTTATGGAGAAGAGAGGCAATGTTACTCCCATTAGTGAGAAGTCGCATACTGTAAGATTTTCGTCCTAAATTGAAATAGCTTTTCTCTGAAAGAAAACAGATGTTTGCCTTGTAGCTCTTTTAAATTAGGGCCAAACTGGCTCTTGTTGGTCCTTGCAATCAGGGTTCTATAATGTAGTAAAAATATGAGTCCAAACAGTTGAGATTGAGAGAGTGTTCATTTGGTAGCGGTACTTTTTGCGACTGCTATAGCTCTCAATGGATTTGGCTGTGCCAACGAAAATCGGCTCATGGACTACCGAACTTTCGGCAAGTCCAGCCGATGGATCGTCGATCTTTTTTATATCATTCATTATGAAATGGTTTACAAGTTGAACATATTCAAAAATAAATGTTGATCATATCGAATAATGGAAATTATTTGATAATGCAACATGACAGTACATGAAATTGACCAAATATAAATATTTTGAATCTTTCCAACTTATCATAAGTATCTAATTCAAAGTGATAAATTTGTCAATTTCTTGTACTTTCAAGTTACATTATCAAAATAACTTTCATTATTCGATTTCAAATAAGAAATTGCATCCATTCATTTATTAATTGTTGATCATGTTATGTAGCCAAATTTTAATAATTTAGGCCAAATTAATATGTTTGTTTCTTTTTTTTTCTGTATTATTTCATTTTAATTTATTCTCTTACCCTTGTTTAGATACTAAAGACTACAATCATCTAGTTCACTAGTAATTCGTTTTTTTTCTCTCTTTTCGTTGTATATGAATTAATTGTTTGAATGCTGTAGATCAATTTTTTTTAAATAAAAAAAAATAAAGATAATATTTTCCATTAATGATGACATTGAATCATGTTATATTGTGAAGTATTAATTTATCAATGACATATTTGCGTATGAGTGTAGTCTAAAGTGAATAAGTACATGTATATCCGCATCCACATCCTCAAGTAAAGAAAAATAAACATAAATGTTAATTGAAAATATTGTAGAATAGCAATAAATTGATTGTCGACGAAAACGATGAACAATAATAATCTCATCAATTATTGAGCTGATGAGAATCAATTATATTTTCTGTTCGTATTCGATAATCAATGTTCTAATTCATGCAAAAAAAAAACATTGTAATGTCAATCATTAATTATTCATCAATGATCATTATTGACTGACAATTCATGTTTAAAACATACGTATATAAAGAATGATTTTCTTGTATAAAGTCATTCTATTCAATAGAGCATCTCATCTTCAACAGATTGAGAAAGTACTCGAATAATCTTTTCTTTTAGGAGGTGCAATAAATATCCATATGGTACCATTTCATTATTTACATTTTTTATGTTAATGGTATACATATTACTTTCATTTTAAATTTATTATTAAAAATAAATTATTATAAACATTATATTATATTACAATCAAAATTGTTTACAATGTTCCAAAGTCGAATTATCGACTTTGGTGTTATTGTTTCGGTCGAATCATAACATTATTATTAACATTACGCGCATGACTTTTATTTTTATTAAAATATGATTTCTATTTTAATCTATTAAATTATAATGAATGATGTAATTTACATCACAAATACAAAAGGCAAGGAAGATGTATTGTTTGAAATTTGTTTTTCTATTCAGAAGAAATAAAGTAATAGAATAGTGTAAACTAAATTAATTTCTGTTTCAAATTGAGGGAAAGTATATAACATTTAGAAGTCCTAGTGGCCAATAGGACTTCTAGGGATAACTTTTATCGATAAGATAGACATGCCATCTATTCCGGATGGAATAGCTTTTATTTTGCTTTCAATACATTACGTGCATGTATTAATCGTAATACATGAAGGTCAAAAAAAAGAATTTCTTTTTACATGTTAAGTTTTTTTTCTTTCATTAAAGCTATGTTATTGTGTAGTAGTAGATTATATCACAGCCTGGCAGGTAGCTTCGTGACCCGGCCCAGGGGAATTCCTTGAGTCTGATATGGCAAAAGCAGTGTAGTACTCGAGAAGACTGTTATGTTCATAAGTTCCTGTCGTCGTTATTCTACTTCCATTGTCCTACCAGTTCGCTCTGTGTGTACCCATTTCAGGCTTACGAGGGGTGTGCCTGGTCGTGCGCGGTAATGAGTCGAGAAAAGCCGAAAAATGAACTGAGTAGCAATTAAAATCAAATTTATTGAGCAAGTAGAAAAAAAAATTACAGCTTCATT